TTGTCGAGAGCAGAAGGAAGTGAAACCAAAGCTGCTGAATCAGGGCGAGGAGCGAGCGCGTGGAAGCAACATGTAATCGAACAGATCGACACGGTGGCGCAGCGTCGGTGAGCACCCATGCAGAAACATGCCCCTGACCGTGTTCACGTGTCGCAGCAGGTCGGCCTCCCTCCAACGCATCGCTTCATCTTAGCATCGCACACAGCCAGAAGTCTGAGAGCTAAAGGTCAGAGGTCGCACGGACTGCTTCCATCAGCACAACGTCCTGGATGTTCCTGTCCCTGAAGCTCTCGGAGCCATCGTAACATCACAGACCTCCTGAACAGTCGATAAGGTCAAAGGTCAGACAGATTCACCCCGGGGGGGAAGAGTCCTGCAGAAAACGCCTGACTGTGCACGTTTTAACCACCAGCAGCGTGAATCCGTTCAGAAGCTGCGATCACCTTCAGGCTGCGTCCGTTCGTCCTCTGAGCCTCTGGGTTCAGCCTCCGAGGAGGAGGAGGAGGAGGAGGAGGAGGAGGAGGAGGAGGAGGAGGATTCAAACAAGCAACCCCAAGCTTCTCATGTCTACAGACTGGTTTCCTTCTGAAGGACTTTGTCTCATTTAGGTCTAACAATAACCATAAAATCTGTAAAGCAGAGTCCATCCATCCGTCCATCCATCCGTCCATCCATCCGTCCGTCCGTCCATCCATCCATCCATCCATCCATCTATTATCTTTTCCTACTTGTTCCTTTTCAGGTCACGGGGGTCACTGGTGCCCATATCCAGCAGTCACAGTGAGAGGTGGGGGGACAGGTCTCCAGTCCATCACAGGAGGAAACCCACGCATGCACGGAGAGAACATGCAAACTCCACCCAGAGAAGTCCCGGGCTGGGATTTGATCCGGCGACCTTCTCACTGAGAGGCAACAGCTCTACCAACTGTGCCAGCGTGCTGCTTTTAAAGCAGGGTGACCAAAAAGAAAAACATCTGTCCACATCAGATCAAACACAACTTCATGTCTGTTTTCTCGAACTCTTTTAAAGTACCATTAAAGACCAAGTCGTTCATTTTCAGACCGGATCAAAGCAGCTTCCAGGTGGACGGGCGGCTCAAACCGTCCTCCACAGATGGTTCGTGGATGAGGGAGCAGACTACAGCCTTACGATTCAACCTGCAGAGGACCACCTGGCACAGCGTCCAACTCCGTGATGTGTCGAGGTTTTAACATCAGTAAGAAAAACTAAAGCGCCACATTTAACAGAGTCAAGTGACCGTAAACAATAAAGACGCATGAAAAAAAAAAAACAGCACCATAATCTAGAACCGATGTAGACAGTAGCAGGAAGAAAGGCAGGACCTGATTCTAAAATCAAAACTTGGTTTTAACTTTAGTTTTTAAACTTGATATTAAATATGTTGTGCAAAAGAGAATCATCAAGGACAAAATCCAAATATCTGGACTGAGGAACAGGAGAGCCTCATGGCTTACACTTCGAGTTGGACATTTTCAGCTTGGTTTGGTCTGTGTTTCAAAACAGATTTAGGCTATTATATTATTATTAATATTATTGTTGTTGTTGTTATTGTTTTTGTTGTTATCATCATTATTGTTATTATCATTGTTATTATAACTATTGTTATTATTGTTGTTGTTGTTGTTATCATCATCATCATTATTATTATTATCATTACTGTTATTTTGTTGTTGTTGTTATCATTATTATTATTATTGTTACTATAATAATAATAATTATTATTATTGTTGTTGTTTTTATTGTTGTTA